ACTCTCATTAAGTAGATCAAAATATCTCAAACAAAATGTAAATGTAAATGGTAAAGTCCCAAGACTATGCAACCATCTCATAACAGAGTAATGAATGATGTCTAAAATACAATATCCAAGTTATCCACTACAAGAAAACATCTCTTATTATCATTTATCAAGTATCTTTTTTGAATTAGAAAATTTTAAATTCTTTTTTTCAAACAAAGTACTAATTTTGTAATTCTTGGTACATGATTTCGAATAGAATCAACACATGACTACATAATTCCGTAATTTCTTTTTGAATTAGAAGCTAGCTACATGATTCATGATTCTTGGTAAGCATAATTTAATTAATATTTACTAACAACTTGTGGATATATTATATATGTATAATTGAATTTGATGTACTTATACATATAATTATATATCAACTTTCGAACGTAATCAACACAACTTTTTCATTTTTTTAATCAAGAGAGTTTTTGCTTTTTAGTTACAAAAACAACCTAATTAACCTTCTTATTTTTTAACTTGAAAAATAGGGGACAAAAAGTACTAATTCGTAATTCATTTTATGTATAATAGCAGCTTAAAATTCTTTTCCATCTCTTTGGAAGATAATGATTCTTCTTGATAGGAAGAATCCAAATCTTTATCCACGACTAATTAAGCTTATTTCATATGTAACATACCCAAAATATAATCCATATTTACATTGTAATAAACTTGCTTATAAGTTATATACTATTTAGGATAGTAAACGAGAGATCTCCAAACAATAATTCCCAATCAAGTGTGACTCCAATTAAGATAGGAAATCCCTCTAATTGAAACAATAATTTCAAGTCAAATTAAAATAATAATTTCCAAACACAAGGATTTGGGCACTTAGGGTGGAATGTGGGCTTGGGGCTTAGGCAATTCCGTCAATTCATTGGGCTTTTTAAGTTTGCAATTTTACTTATATATTTAGAAAAAAAAAACTTTGGTTTTCGGTTGAAACCGATCCACAAAATTGTAAAACCGAATCGAACATCGATAATCGAAATAATTTCGGTTAGTCTTTTTTTAAAAAAAAACAAACCGAAATAATAATTTCCGTTTGGTTCGGTTTGATGATTAAGTTTTTATCGAATTTTGCTGACCCCTAGAAGAGGGGATATGCCAAGTGCTCGATATACCAATAACCGATGGTTTCACAATTTGCCAAGGAAGATGCCGCAATGACAAACGAGCATTTTCGGGGAGTAGCCCCTTTCCCATTACTCAAGAGGGAATGGTGATCCGATTGAAAAAACACAAATCACTAACCAAATAAGAGAATAAGATGTCATTGTCCATGAACAAAAGAGAAAAGAAAGATAAAGAAAAGAGGAAGATAGACAATAAATACAAGAGGAGGAAGGTATTGTTCATGGGTAATTGTGAAACTAAAAAAAGGCAATGACAAATACTACTATCTACATAATATTAATTACAAATAAGTCAGGTATAAAAACTAAAAAACGATTTTTTAACTATTCATATAATATTAGTTACAAATATATTATTTTTTACAAATTATATTTTATATGGCTATAATTTTGAACATCAAATTTTATCAATATTCATATTTCAAATACTGTTTTGGATAAAAAAAATGTAATAAAGAAAATAACTATTAAAAATGAATAAATTTGATATAATTTATAATTAATTTTTTAATGATTAATAACTATTAAGTTAAAAGAATGATAAATATATTATAAATTAATTTATATAGAAAGTCTAGAATACAATAACATTTAACATTATTAATCACATGATTAATGCATAATACCCCAACGTCGCAGCGTAATTTTTTTTGTTATTAAAGGGATTTTGATTTAATGATTTACGTTATTTAAGTGATCGATCGCTAAAATAAGTTGTCATCAATTTTTTTTTTTTTTTTGGCTTGATTGGCCATATATATTAAGCAATTTTAGCAAAATCTCACACTTTGCTCAAATGGGTGAAATATTGGTCTACACAAAGTTGGATTTTGAGTTTGAGAGTATCGTTAGGTGAGAATAAGCTTTCAACAGACATTCAAACAAAATTGGGAATAAAAAAGAAAATAAATGTTTCCTATTTACTAGGCTTTCCTAGATATGTTTTTTTTTTTTTTTGACATTTTTGTATCTTACGTTTTGTTTCATATATATATATATATATATATATATAAGCTGACATTCGCTACCCTATGGCCCAGCTTATTTTTTACTCTTTCTTTTTTCCAAATAATTTATTTTATTTTATTTTTTATTATAAAATTTTAGACAAGGATTACGGAAGATCGATCATTATTTTTTAGATTCCATACGTAGTTTGACGTGAAAGAAATATATACAATATATTTTTATATTTTAAAATTAACACACATTTCAAATTACATAAATTTTATTATTGAAAATTTATTTTTTTAATTTGTCATTTTATATAGAGATTATCATCCGATTAATTTTTTGTTTTGTATGAATTTTATTTATTGACACATATGATTTATTTTTCTCTACGCGTGGATTTTTGAATAATATTTTTGAATATGATTATTTTTTCTTTCTTAAAAAATAAATTAATATAATGAATATGATGGATTCTTATAATTTTAAAATGATTATATATATATATATATATATATATATATATATATATATATATATATATATATATATATATATATTGTAATTTTGTTTTCTAAAAATCGAAGTTATTATCTGAAAAATACTTTTAATATTTAGATTAATCTTATAAATAAACCAAATCTAAAAATAAAAAGTGTTTTTTTAGATAATTTGTCTAAGATTTAAAGAAAAAAAATTTATAGAATAAGTCTTTAGTTAAGAATCCATGAATTTTTAAATTTGATTTTTATATTATTAAAAGTTTTAAATTAAGAATCTAGATAAAGAAGAATAAATTGTATTTTTTATCATAAAATTTACGAAAAACACAAGAAATAATTAGTAAAATATAAAATTTTGATAAAAAAAAACATAAAATTAAATAGATTTTTTTTTAATCTTTGATTTGATATATTTTGATAGACATCCGATATAGCACGGATCTTCAAACTAAAATGAATTTTTTAAATAATTGTATATCTTTTGTCCTACTTGCAACATAGTACAGATAAAAAATTAATTTGCCTCTATGATAATAAGCAAATTTTAAATATATATATATATAATAGTATGTAAATTTTGAGTATAAAATAAAATATTTATAGTATTATTTTGAAAATATGAAAAGTGTTTTAGTTAAATTTTTAAAATTAAAAATTTTTTTAATTATAATAGACTATTTTGAGGTATTATATATTTATAAAGTTTTACTGGTCACACGTTAATCCATATTTGATTAAAAAAAAAATCGATAAGCAAAACAGGTAAAAAAAGACTTTAGCTGAAAAAAACAGAGAGTATTTACTTTTGTGTTTAGTCTTTTCAATGTAATTTTTATTAAAAATCATATTTATTGTGTTTATAATTTTTGTGAAAAAGATATGAAAAGTTTGTAGAAGTTTGAAATATATTCTGTTTTTTATTTTTTACAAAAAGTGAAAGATGAGAAACAAATTGGGAAGAAGGCAGTGTTAAATAAAACAAAAATCTTGACAAAATTTGAGCAACGTGATCCTCCATGATAGGCCCACGTTCAACTTACTTTCAAACTGATGCTTTGCTGGAAACATTATTGGGCCACGTTCGAAGTGATTCTTTTTCACGTCGTGCAATGTGCAAGTTTAAAATGGTCTTGCTAACTTTTTTACGCTCTGATTTTTCCAATCATGCTTTTGACCGCACTACATTTTTCCTAGTAATCCAATTCCTTCTTTTAACTGATCAAACGGAGTTTTTATATTCAACAGATTTCTCTATCTTTTTTATCCTCAACTTAATCTTTCAATTCTATTTTTTTTTAATTGAAAACCAAATTGTAGAAAAAAAAAGGAGCATAAGAAGTGAGGACAGGTAAGAAAAATAAGTTATTAAAAAATGCTAAACATTAATTAAAAAAATAAGAAAAAGCTTCAAGAAAATTAAGTAATTGAATCAAGATTATAAGGAATCAATGACCTCATTAATTCAATGATTTTTTTGTGTATTCTTGAAGTTTTTTTATTAACATTTATCATTACTCGTTATTAAAAATAAAAATGCTAAAACTAAATTATAATTATTGAGTTTACATGTGAGTGGTAATTATCTCGTATTGAAAAAGAATAAAAAGTTTGAAGTGCTTATATATAAGATAGATTTATAATCTATTAGTCTAGATTTTTGAATTAAGATAATACTATTTGTTCTTGTGTATAAATTCTTTTGTAGACGCAATCAAATGACTTTCTAATAATTTTTTTTTCAACAAATGATATTATAGCTGATGGTCGAGTTTGGATATCAAATATTGATAGTGGTTAGCATTATAATTTTGTCGATTTTTTTATATTTAAATAAAAAAATTTGATTGTCAAATTCGATTATCGCTTTCAGATTATTTTGTTTGATACTTTTGCTCATTGATGAATTGGGTTTGAATGGATTGAACCATTGCTAAGTATTTTTAACGATGGAGGAATTGTGTTTGAATAGACTAATTGTGTTGGAATATACTAAGTATACAAGTGGAAAAAAGATTTAGTAGGATCATATGTGAATGGCAATTGATGTACCCATTAGTCAAATTCTCCCCTACGGCAATCGACAGGCCAAGAAACATACTGCCCCGCAGAAAATGTTAAAAAGAGAATCTTTTATGCAATTAATGCTAATGTTCATGACATATTATATCCATCCTGAAAAAAACTTAATTCTCTACGAGCGAAGAAAGAGACACCTGTAAACCAAGGTTTGCTGAATCGTTTTTTTGCACCATCCATCCTTCAAGTCGTTGACTTTGACTAGACAAATATTTAATTCACGGCCTTTTGTTTACTTTTCTCATACACATGCACGTACTGGATTTTCGCAACACAAGTCTCCCAGATCCCGATGGCTGATTTCAAATCCAACGACATCCAGCTGCAGTCAAGGGTATTTTATGCTCTCCGCTGGACCCACCCACCACTAGATAGCGTGAAGTCCCTGTCGTCTTGATTCACCAGCTCTAGCAGTTCAGCCATCCACCAGTCGTATACGATAATCTTAAAGGTAATAATCCTTTTTTCGACGATCTATTATACCTAGAGCTTTATTTTTTAGGGTTTTACATAGTTCGTGCTTGCTTGCTTTGAATTATCACTTGGCTTAACTTCAGACTCTGAATTTATTGTGTTTAACTTGGGATTTTTCTTATGCACTTTGATTTCTTGCACTTAAATTTGTTGCCGAAAAGATGTTTGATAATATAGTAGAGGTTTCATGGACTTGCATTTTGTTTGATTTTTGACAGAATTAAGTACCCATATAATGCTTAAGGTCCCAGAGCATCAAGTTGCTGGACACGAAGCTCGCATTGGGCAGCTTGGCCCCCTCATTGATGGTTCAGGGCGTTTCTACAAGCCTCTTCAGGATGATGACCGGGGCTCGAAAGAGGTGGCATTTTATACCTCCTTCTCGTCGAATACGAGGGTTCCGGATCATGTACGAAAATTCTTTCCTGTTTTTCATGGAACTCAGCTTTTAAAGGCACCTGACGGATCTGGCCTTGTGCCGCACCTTGTGTTGGAGGACGTTGTTTCAAGTCGTTCGCTTCCAACGGTTATGGATATCAAGATTGGTTCTAGAACTTGGTATCCTGAAGCTTCTGAGGATTATATCCAGCGGTGCTTTAAGAAAGATAGGGAAACTAGTAGTTTGTATTTGGGTTTTAGGATTTCTGGGTTGCAGATATATGGAAACGAAGAATCTGGATTGTGGAAGCCAGAGAGGAAACTTGTGCAGAAACTTAATGCAGATGATGTTAGAGTGGTACTGAAGAAGTTTGTTTCTTCCAATTCGCCAGCTGATCTGAATTTGGAACCCGATTGTTCTTTTGCTTCTAGTGTTTATGGTGGTTCTACTGGAATTTTGGCTCAATTATTGGAGCTAAAGGCATGGTTTGAGGATCAAACCATGTACCATTTGAATTCTTGTTCTGTTCTTATGGTGTATGAAAAGGAGAGAGTGTTAAAAGGAGGGAGTTCAGACGCTGAAGTTAAACTTATTGACTTTCCTCATGTTACGGAAGGCAAAGGCATTATTGATCATAATTTCTTGGGAGGGCTTTGCTCTTTGATAAAGTTCATCTCGGAGATTCTTACTAGTCCTGATGAGTGTACAACCAAAGTTTGCTTGCAGGACTCTGACAAGAACAACAAGGAGATTCTAACCAGTCCTGATGATTGCACAGCCAAAGTTTGTTTGCCCGACTTTGACAAGAACAACAAGGAGATTCTTACCAGTCCTGATGAATGCACAACCAAAGTTTGTTTGCAGGACTCCGACAAGAACAACAATTGTACTGAAAATGGTACCAACGAAGGAATTAATATTTCTAATACTTAGTTTGCTTAAATTGTTATCTGCTTGGTGCAGATTTTTTTCAATGAGTTTCATGAAACTGTCTCGATGAATTTGCGCAACTTATTGAAGAATTTTTTTCCTGCCACTATTGTGCTTTTGGCTGGAAATAAAATCATTGACTGTAAACCCCATTGAATTTTTGGTGCTTATTATCCTATGTTCTTACGTTATTATTTTGCTAGTTCGGTTCTTGTGGTCGGGCAAAGATTTTTCTTATAGTTCTGGCGCTATGTGTGGGATAGGGAATCCAATCTATTTGTTGTACATGTTATAATGTGGTTTTAGGTGATGAGAAGATAGATTGTTTGCTTGAAAAGAAAGGAGAGCATACAAGGATATAAACCCTGGCGGCTATTGATTTGGTGAGTTTGCCATGGTTATGTTAAACAGCGTGCAGATAAGAAAGGAACAAAGGAGTGATGGATAAGGTTCATGCTAAAATCTTTTACATTGAGCTCTACTGTTTAATTTTCCAGCCCCAAAGGACCCCTATGAAGTAGCACTTCAGCTCCTGGTAATTGACTGAGCATCTTTTTGGAAGTAAACAAATGAAAATTGCCTTCTTATTTAAGCTCAATTTGCTCAGTCATATGCTCCTTCAAGTTACTTTCAAAATCTTAAGGTTATAGGTTTCATTCAGTATAGCCACTTTGCTTTCCTTTTATGGCAAGGAAGGTTGCAATTCAGGAAATTCAAATAAATAGAGGTATTTTGTCAGTGACAGAGAGATTAAACGACAGTATCAGTGGGGAACCATCTTGGTTTTTATATTCAGGAAATCCAGCTGACTTTAGATAATCTTTCTTTTAAGCAACGCACTTCTTACAAGATAATCCATTTGAAATCCAGCAGTGAACTCAAAGCCTCAAAAAATGACTTGTATTTCTTGCAACCTGTAAAAATTGCATATAAAACAAAGAAAAATGTTCATTAACTTTGCAAGGACAAACCAAGATGAATTCGACCCTTCTGCTGTGCATTTTTTTGTGCGCTTGCATCAATGGCCGCTTGGCAGATTTTGATAATCTTCAGGATACTTGTCCAACGGCTACTACAGGCGAGCAAACTGTCTTCATCAATGGCTTCCCTTGCAAGAATCCAAACAGCATCGTTGCTTCAGATTTCAAGTCATCAAAACTAAGCATTCCTGGTGACACGGACAATTTCCTTCGCTCCTCGCTCACCCTTGACACTGCTGAGGATTTCCCAGGTCTAAATACTCTCGGCCTCTCAATTGCTAGGACTGACCTTGAAGTTGATGGTTTGATGATGCCTCATTCTCACCCAAGAGCATCCGAGATGTTCTTCGTTAGCACAGGTGTTGTGATTGCCGGTTTTATCGACACCCAAAACAAACCATTCCAAAAAACTCTCATGCCAGGAGAAGTTTTTGTGTTTCCCCAAGGTCTGCTCCACTATTGTATGAACGATGGCTTCGAGGCTGCTGTTGTTTTCTCAGTGTTTAATAGCCAGAAACCAGGTGTGGTAAAGATTGCTGATGCAATGTTTGAGTCTCATGAGGATATGATGAATAAGCTAGTAAGGAAAATAAAATCTGTTGCTGCCATGGAGGTCAATGGCATTCAAAATGTGACTCAGCCTGGGTTTTAACATCTTTACAGTCAGTCCTGGCATATGAGCTAAGTGTAAATCTATTTCTGTGTTGTTTTTTACTAGTTAAAAGCATACTATTTGCTCAGTCTCTTTTGGTGGTTGCATGAATGTGTGGAAAAGAATAGTAGTAACAGTTTATGTATTTTTCAACTTGGATGCTAGTTATTTATCTAACCAAATTCGCAGCATCAAAACTGAATGAACCAAAATTTCTGTTTGGTTGCAGTTTCATCAAGTTTTTTCCTTTAGCTTTGCCATTGTCCTTCCATCGCATATGTTATTGTATTTCAATTATGAGTAGAGGAATTATGGAGAAAGTTGGACCATTACTAGGACTCTAAAAGAGAGACATGGGGTTTTGACTGTTTATAATCCTAATCACCTTTTATTTACTTTTTTATATGTATATTTTGTAAGAGTACAAGAAACTGCTTGCGGTCAGCAGTTAAGAAAATTGCCTTTCAAATAATACATTGGGGTTCGACTTGTGGCAGGCGCACTTTTGTTATATATTTATGCTTTGATTTTTTTCTTTTTGGTTTTTTTTTTTTTTTGTAATTTTTTAAATTATTTCATTTTGATCCATAAAATTTTAAAATAAAAATTTTGATCCCTACCCGATGCACTACATACTTTTTTTTTTTCGGTTTTTTTCTTTGCTTTTTTTTTTCATCAATTTATGTTCTCTTTTATTTAATTAGGTGTTAAAATTTTTAAAAATTGATTGTTATTTTTTCATACAAACCGATGATTATATAATATATATAGATCAAATATATATACTTTAAAGATCACCCCCTCACAATATACTATTCACTTCTTTTTTTCTATTAGATTCGCGAGTATAGCACGGGCAACCAACTAGCTTCTACTAAATCGTAACTTATCGTGACAAAACGTAAAACTTTAAAATCAAATTATATGGAGAGGCTTTGATCTATTCAGTCTAGAGTGACCTATAACCAAAATCTTGTTTGGAATTTAAATTGAGAAAAGCTATATATATGTAAACAAAACGTTATAATTTTTTTTTTTGTTTCCTAAAGATTAGGATACTTTCTAGATAATTTTTTAAGTTAAATCTCTTCTAAACTTTAATTTATTTTGAAAATCAATCTATAAATTTTTCATTTCGGGTTTGACATTCTGAATTTTTTATTTTTGAGATTTAATCCATTCTTTAGTTTTCTATCATCTAGCCCAAGGAAATAACAATAACATAACTTGCTCCTTAATGAAAATTAACTAGTAAAATTTATATAGAGCTACCCAAAATATTTGAGATCATTCTAGTTATTTTCTATTTTTTTTTATTTTTTACATTTTTAATGTTTAATAAATAAATAAATAAATTTTTTATATCTTAAAAAACTGTGGATTTTTTTTTCAAAAAATAGATTGTATTTTTCCAAACGTGTGTGCAAAATTTCAGATAAAAATATCAATAATTGAATTTTTTAAAATTGATAGCTAAAAATCATAAGATAAACTAAATTTTTTAAAAATAAATTTTAAAGAGGTCAAAAAAAATTTAAAATTTAAAAACTGATTTTCAAATAAAATAAAATTGAAAATTTTTATATTAAGGTAATTCTATAATACACGAAATAAATTTTAAACACATACAACGACACTCGTGGTAATTATATGTTTGGTCTATTATTTTCTTTATTTATTCGTAGTCATTTTATTTTATATATATATCGGAATTAATCCAAAAGTAGCTATATGATTCACATTAAACTTATATTTTCCTCTTATAATGTTGTGCGAGGAGAAAAAGGATTCTTGACAAGTAACCTATCGATTAAGGACTTAGCATCTAATAAGGGTTCCTCAACTTAATGGGAAATTAATCATAATTTAGTCCCTGTAGCTTATTCAAATATATTAACTAGTCCACATTGCATTAAAAAATTAACAAAGTAATCTCTTGATTAGTATTGATCATGCTTAGATTAGTAATAATTTTTTTAAAAAAATGCCAACTTTTTCTATCAATCTCCTGATATCATCATATACAAAAAGAATTAATTTATAAATGAATTTAAAAATATTGGAATTACATATATAATTTTTGAAGCAATGAGAACTAAATAAATTGTTGTAATAAACTAGAGAGATAAATTATAATTAACTCGTTCGATAGGGTAGAATAAAACTTGATATTTTTATGTTCTAAGGGCTAAGAGTGTAAAGGATAATAGGAGATTTTGGGAATTTTAGCAGGAAGGTTTGGGCCTCTTTAAGAAATTGGTGGAAGTTTTAGGATGACCGATGCTTACTAGGCCTTGTACAGTCCAAGCCCTCGAGGCCTGCTACCATTTATCCAAAAAAAGTTGAATATTGAATTGAAAATTTTATCTATTCAAAACATATTCTTCTCGTTGCTAAAACATATTTTTGAAATTTTATTTTCAAATAAATTAATTTTTCAAACAAGATTGTTGTTTGAAGCTTGACCCTTTCTGCTAAAAAAAAAAATGTTAATTTTTTTTCGTTTCTTTTAATAAATAGAAAAAGACCAAAAAAAAAAAAAGAAAGTAAAACATATGAAAAAATTGATGAGAAAAAAATGTTTTTTTAAATAAAATAATCTTAAATTAACCATGATCGACATTGATCTAAAAACTAATTAATTGGTTTCTAAAACAAAAAGGATTATTTAATTTATTTTTCAAAACTAAAATGATTAATTTATAATTTATATAAGTTAGCACTTAGTATTTATATTTTTTCACGTTGTTGAATCAAATGCAAACTAGAAGAGGAAAAAAAAAAAGAAAAGAGAGGAGAACACGAAAGGAACTCACAATGCTTTAGCCATCTAATGTCATTTTTATTGACTTTGTTGTTATTTTTTCTAGGATCAAATTCATATATTAAGCTGAAAAAAAAATGTAAAAAATTTCATTTTAAAAAACTCATTTTGAGACTGAATTAATAGGTTGATTTAGTTTCAATGAGTTAAAATTATCAATACCTTAGCTGTAAAAAGGAAAAAAGCAAAAAAATATTAAAATAGACTCACATATAAGTTATCACAACATTTAAAAAGTAATAAATTTTTTTTTTAATAAACTGAAAGACTTAATGGGTCTTAAACTATATACAAGGAAAGTAATTTTCTTTCACATATCAAAATAACTAATAAAATAATATTAGTTAGTATTGAATAAAGCTATTGCAGATACACAACTAAACTATCTGTGTTCTGTATTTACATTACAGGAATTAAATATAACTCCAAGAAAAAATCTTGATCAAGCTTATTTACCCTAAAATTTAAATTTAAAAAAACAGAAGGCACTTTTTCAAAAGTTAAGAAATTATAGGGGTAAATTTCTTAATCTAAAAAATATGGGAAGCAAATCCAAAATTTATCTTTCTTAACAACGACTTCAGTACCGTGTCGTTACTCGAACCAGAGCTAAAACATTTCAAACTCGCACTATAAATACCTCTCATTGCGCGCCAAACACAAAAATCAAAACAAATCCACAAATTCAAAGAAGAAAATTGAAAATGGTATTTCTCTGTTTCGTCCTTGATCTCTGCAACCTCTCACCTCCATTGCTCAAAAATCTAAGACAGGTAATCTCTCTTTCTTTTATTTAATAGATTCTGTTTTTATTAATTGATTGATGCAAATCGTCGATTCTGTTTGCTCCTTGTTACACCTCGCATTTCCTACGCTGTATCGTCTCCTTCACGCCGCCAGTTGCAGTCTCTCCTCGACAAAAGCAGCTTGTGTTATCTCTTCAAGAACCGCACTTCTTTCTCTCATGAGGTAATTGAATTTTTTTTTTTTTGAAAAAATCGAACGTGTTTGTCAAAAAATTTGACGGTAGTTATTATTATTATTATTTATTAAACAGCTAAAGGTGGCTTATAGTCCTAGAGGAAATTTCAATCTCCTTGATTTCCATAATGCCATTAATGATGTGCCTACCGATTCCTTTTTGCCTGAAATTAACGATTCCGGAAGTCTCCGTTCATGCGGTTAGTAACTGATTAACTGAATTTTTGCAAGCATATTTGTTATTTTTTTAATAAGCAGATATTTTTTCTGGTTTATTCATTTATTATTATCATTATTTGTTAAGATGTGAAGCTTTCAAGTATTTTAAGTGATCAAGTACTGTACTCATGGGTAGGGAAAGATATTATGAGGAAAGTGATTGTTTTGAGGTCGTGCGTGCCTGATAATGTGGACTCAGAGTTGAAAGTGATTCTCATGGTTAGTCACCAGATTATGCTTCGGATCATTACTTGATGATATATAATTTGATTCTTTTTTTAATTTTTTGCTTGTTTTTTATAGGATGCAGAGGATAAATGTGTCTCTGTGGAGTTTGTATTATTGAGCAAAGTTCGAGCGATCTTGGAAATTTGTAGGAGAATATTAATTCTTTCATGAAAAGTACATCAGAAATTGATAATTTCTCATTTGCAACTTATCTCGCAGGTTATGTGCTTCAACGATTATTAGGTCATGATGTTGTGATAACAGTTTTCGGAGACCCCTTTTTTGAGACCATGTGTTTGTATCAAATTGGCAAATTAAAATTATGTCTAAATAATTTGGCAAATTCAATCCTATGAACGTTATATTTCGGCAATTCGATGCCCTTAATTCTTAACAAATATCCCAAAACTTTGTTTGCAGACGATAGTAGATTTATTGAATGAGTAGTCTAAATTAAAATTTAGTTTCTTCTCTTTCTATTTTCCTAAATTGTGCAATATGAGGTGTGGAGTTGTGAAAAAGTCACGTGGGGATCCTATATCAGTTTTGTTCTTTTTTTATATAAAAAAAAAATTTGGACATTCACTAAGAAATTGATGATAGTTGGATCAAATTGTCTAAATACAACAAATATAGTGTCGAATTATTTACACAGGGTTTAATTTGCTTATTTGATACAAACATATGATCTCAAAATGGGGATTTTCCATGTTTTTTAGTATGGTTTGATAAGTTTTATTTCCTATGAATTAGAAATGTTATAATATGAAAACCTTCGCTGCAATTGATTAACAGTAAATTAGGCAGAAGCTCTATGTTTGATGGCTCTTGAACAAATAGGGAAAGGTTAGTACTGGAAAAAAAAAAAAAGGAGCAGACCTTGCTAGATAGAGGTTTTGATTATGACTACCGAAAAATCACAGCATAGGAATTTGAGAAACTATGGAAAGAGTGGGAAATATCTGTCACGAGTCCTGTCTTTCCTTGTAGAATCATTTTGAAGGGAGATGGAAAGAGTGGGAAAGGATGTGATTGTGTAGTCGCGAGACCATGGTTAGAGTTATTGCATGCAGGTGGGAAGTAGGGTGTATCGCCCTAGAGTACTTAGCATGCTAGTGCTAAATGTTTGCTTGTTGCAAAAATCTGAGTTATCATTTTGTCTAAATAGTTCTCAATATTTTTGCTAAGAAAATGGTAGCGAGCCAAAGTGTAAAGTCTCGTATATGTATTTGTATTTAGCATAAACATTGGATAATTTTGCAGAGAGTAGAGTATGTCATAGCTTGGTAAAACAATGGCTACAAGAGTTAAAGGATGACATGAAAGAACCCTTGCAAGCTCGTTTCATCTTTAAAAGCAACCTCATAGGCTCTGTGAATCATATATTCTGCAGCTTGTCAACATCTGTTTGTCAAATTACTGATGGGTTCGGTGCTTGCCAGGTATTGAATTATGAATCTCACTTTCATGCTCTTTTTGTATGATAAAATATTTCCTTCGTTATTTCAATTTGATTTCTCATGTCCATAAACTTATTATGGCTGGGTGTACTGCTTATAGACATGCAGGTGTCATGGCTCTATGTTAGATAACAGAATAAAAGACAAAAATGTGGGAGCTTCTTGTCCAATCACAAGGCGTGATCAGGGAATTTCTGATATGATTGAAACTTCTGTGCAAGTTGGAGACAAAACAATTCTGTTTTTGCCGTCTTTTCAGAGCTCAATGAAGCTGAAGCAACTCTCTTCACCCATTGACTTCAACATTATTGAGAAGAAAAAAAATGTGGGAGCTTCTTGTCCAATCACAGGGCGTGATCAGGGAATTTCTGATATGATTGAAACTTCTGTGCAAGTTGGAGACAAAACAATTCTGTTTTTGCCGTCTTTTCAGAGCTCAATGAAGCTGAAGCAACTCTCTTCACCCATTGACTTCAACATTATTGAGAAGACTAACCTGAGCTCCTTAAGTGAAGGTAAGGTCATGCTATAAACTCTATCTACAATTTTATATATACATCTCTTGTCCCTTGCATTTTGTAGCCTGTAAGCGGTTTATTTATTTAATGGTATGGGGAGTTCTTATAGGGATGTGAGGAGCTTGTGCATTTCTTCTTATCATTCTAAAACCAGCATTCTTATGGCCATGGCCTTTTTCCCCTCACCGTGAAGTACTGCCAGTTGTGATATAAGTAAAAACCAGTGACATCCATGTGAGCTACAGTCTTAGGTTAAGAATGCTGCCTTCTGGTCCGATTGTGAAATACAACAACGGATTTTCTTCTTCTATCCTTTTCTATTTATACTTGTAATGAACAGGTCCTTTTCTATTATCACTTTATCAGTGTTCTTAGAACTTTCTGAACTTTAGGATGCCAATATATTTTCTTATGCAGATGTAAAGGTTGAGAGACGGTCCAACAGATGATTGAAAATCACTGTTCAAACCCTTTCTCTGCAAAATAATTATCCACACCTTCTGAGTGATAATCTATAGTCACTAGAACAGGTATCATAAAATCTTTATGCTTAACCTCCCTTTTTCACTTTTTTATCACTGGTATAATGATTGGATCTTCATATTTTGTCACTCCATCAGCTTGTTATGAGATAGAAGCTTCAGATGAAATGGATCGACCAGCGTTTATTGCTCAAAGTGTGATGAATGCTTCCCTTTGAATTTCTTGTTTCAAATGTTTATATAAAAATGGAATTTAGGGTCCTCAAATTTCAAACTCATTTGATTCCCAAGTTTATCTTCTCTTGGCGTGATTCTGAATTGGGATATTGCCTGTCAGTTTTTCAAGGGATTTGCAGTGTTCTGCATTCAATGGATCAGGGCCGGTTATGCTCTTCGTGTTGTAATGTGGAAACCATGAGAGAAGCAGCCTTCCACTGCTATTATCTTCTTCAGCCTTCAGACAATGGACCAATGCTTCTCAGAGTAAACACTGACCCTCTTTATAGGCTAACCATCTATTTCTTCTCAAGCAACAAAAAGATATTTTAATTGTCGATTTAATGTCTTCCTCTTAGTTTAATTTCCTTTGATTATGGGAATTTGGTCTGTTATCTCATCTCATTCAGGATCATGTGCAAAATGTTGATAATGACATGGCTGGGGCAGACATTGGTGAGTTTGGAGCTAACGTGGGTGGAGATGCTGAAGAAGAGCTCCAAAATGGAGGAGATGCAGGTCAGATCCAGAGTGGTGGGGATCAAAATATGGAAGTTGATGTCGAGGGTGATGACGAAGATGACATAGGTCATATCGGTGATGGAGATTTCATATGCATTCATGAAGCAATGGGAGGAGGTCAGCTTGATTTCTTTGCCAGAATTCTTAAACAGGATCTCCCCACCTTTGAAAGCTTTTGCTTTTGGGTGCATGCACAATGGGCTGACCGAACTAGTAATATCCCACACCAACAGCCTAACGTGTCGGAGTTGTGGCCTGGCTACAACTTAGACTACTACAGCACAAGAGGACATCAGCATGAACATTTGCAAGTCAATTTTCAACCTCACCATCATCTGCGAGGTCTGTTTTATAGGATGTTCTGAGAGTCTAGTAGATGAAATTGTTGCAACTCAGAGAGTAGAGAATTAATAGTTAAACAACTAGACTTTTATATTCTTTTAGTAGATTGAAATTTGTTAAATTTTGTCAGATTTCTTTTGTTCATGTATTGAGTGTGAGGCAATTGCCTCACATTTGGATGTTAGATGTGTAGAGGCATAGTCATGTAGCTGATATTTGTAGAATTTTTCTACACAGATTGTATGATATCCAAAAATTTTACATTATATATTTTGTGTATATGCGGTTTAAATGTGCTTCATTTGTGTTTGTAATTTAATATGTTTTATGTGTTTAGATGATATGATGATTATGTATAGAGTTTTAGGATATAGTATATATATTTTTTGGTATTATAGATAGTATTTTTATATAGATAGGAATTAATCTATAATCTTATCCTAAGCTATTAGGAATTAAAGAATTAAAATAGTAATAATAATTGATAAACTAATAATGACATAATAATAAGTTTTACTAGCTTTTAAAGGGAATGTTAGTGGCTATGAAAGAAAAATTTTTTTTTGAAACATATATTAAAATTAAAGAGGAGACATAAATGGCCATGAAAGAAAAGAAAGTGGCCATAAAAGAAGAAGGTTAGTGATTATGAAAGAAAGTCACTTAGTGGCCATAAAAGAAGAAATTTGGTGATCTTTTATTATTTTTAATTAATGCACTTAAAATTTTCAAATGTTTCAACTTCTCATGCCTATGTATAGGATGTCATTCTCCTCATTTAGAAAAGCCATTTCATAAGCTTCTATTTCGAGAGAGAGAGAGAGAGAGAGGGAGGGAGCGAGAGGGAATATAATTGGGTGAGAAGTGAAGTCAAAGGTATTTGGAAGAAGATTCAAGTCTTGGTGATTCAATATTTAAGGTAAGAAAAATATTTAATTTAATTATTTGTTTCTATATAATGTTTGGTAGAATTGAGTTTGAAATTTCATGATTTAGGATTGATTATCTAAAAATTATATTTTAGTAGTAAAATCTTAAATTTTTATTAGAATATTTGATGGTTAAGTGTATTTAAAAAGAATTGAAAAGGTTAAGTTAAAATTTAATAACATTATATTATATGAATATAATTAGAAGAGAATTGAATAAATTAGAGTAGAGTTGATGATTTAATTAGGATTTTAAATTTAAAAGAAATTACCGAAAAAGAATAAGAATTAATAAAAATTAAATGATTAGAAATAAAATAATAATATTGAATTTCTTATTTTATATGGTATGTATGTTCAAGGTTTGAATCAAGTCAATGTATCGATTTTTAGAGAAAGGTTATTATAAACGAGTGGTCTTATGCTATGTGTTTCTATGTGGTCTTATGCGAATCAAGTAAGTATAACTCAACTACACCATAGAAATAAATGCTATGTGTTTTTATGTGATTGATGTGATGTGATGTGATGGTCTTGAGGTGCATTCATACGCATTCATATGTTTTACATGTTAATTAAAAGAAAATGTTTTAAGTAAACGAATGAAGTCATTTTTTTTTAATGCATATTGAGGTTTAAAGATTGAGATTGTCTAACGAGGCATAAATGTTGAGGTTTAAAGGTTAAGGTTTGACTTGTTAAATGATGAGGTTAATATTTTTATGCATGTTTTTATTGAGGCTAAACCTCGCTAACCGGTGTTAGTATCTTCTAGCAAGCCCAAATGAGGAAAAAAAAATTTTAAAGACATTCATGTATAAAAAGTTTTAATCATACATATTACACTTATGGGGATATTCGTATCTCACGTCCGTTCTATGATGTAGGTAATGATGCAAATATTGAGGATGTTGATGCTTGCTTCCAGTAATTAGTGACTCATGTGCTTGCCTTTGCGTATTCGTAACAATTAGGCTATGTTTTAAATGAATATTTATTTTTAAAATAATAAATGTAATGATGTTAAACTTATGAGTGTTGAAAATTTTTACTTAGAATTTAAATATGAATATTGGGACAAGGTTATTTAGGAATGTTAATTATGATGAGATATGTTTTATAAATAATGAAATTTTATAATAACGCTTACGCTATATTAATGAGAAAATCTTATGGTTATGTATTATTAATAACATATTTTAAATTGACATATTTAAAGATAAATAAGATTAAATTAGGAACTTAATTTTAAGAAAATAAAAACAATATGAGTTTTAGTATCGACCCGTTCGGTCATAACCCTTCGAGTGAGATGTCTTGATTGACGGGCGTTATAGATTGTATAAGAATATCTCTGCATTCTCTGTTTCAACTCTATTTTTTGGTCTGTTGAATGTAAGGAATCTGTCCCAATCCCTTGCATTTTTTCAGGGAAATATTGGAGCAATAACAAATTTAAAGTTCTCCTTAGATGGCTGGTCTTTGGCTATGGCTGAGCCTGTGTACTTTGAACATGTCTTTGATGCGATCTGATTGTCTGAAATGCTAGGAGATAGATTTGTTTACTGATACTGCTGGCATTTCCTTCAGTTTCGATCCATACAGAAGTTCTCTTTGTCGGTGATCGCACTTACATTAGCTTATTAAAGTTCAACAGGAGGCAGTGAGGCACTACAACCTTTATTTTGTTTTGGCCTCGATAACCTAATGGACTTAACCTGATTTTGCGAAAAAAATAAGAAAGAAATGCTTTTGTTTTCAATCATGAATTTTTAGAACTAATTCATTAATTGACAACAAGTGCATCCAAGTCCAAAGAGTCATTTTGATCAGTCTGGCATGGGATTGAGTGATAGCACGCTTCAAAGTTTCTGTCAATTTGTTTTACATTTGATGTTGATAAAGCTATGTCAATCAGGTGCTGTTATCAATATAAATCTCTATTTTTCTTCGAAAAGATAGAAGAATTTTTTAATATTTGAAATTCATTTTATATCCGAAGGTTATGTTGTTCTAGCAACGTGTAGCATTGTTTTGTAGTTAGAACATTCATGTTCTTGTGAATTAAGACCCACATTTACGTCATTGCCAACATTCATGAACTCTCTTAAAGTTTTTTAATTATTCTCGGTATATTAATGATGTATGTAGTTACATTTTGAGTCTCTTCAGTCATCCTTAGCCTAGTAAGCCTTTTGGCCACAGTTTGTGTGTGCAAAAAAAATAAATAATAAATAAAGAGTTAATAAAGCTTTGGTGACAAAGTAACTAGAAGCGTGTGAGGATCTATTGCCCCTAAAACGAATGATTAGTTTATTCAAAAACTTAGAGTGAAATATTTTTTATATTTTGTCCACCTAATTATTTCCTCCTCCAAACAGATCGTCCACACAAGTTCCTTAATGGCCGAATATCAACGGAACAAGACATAGATAATATTGCAAACCTAATGTATAATCACAGGCAGTAGCATCAAGCGAGAAAGACATTGAAAGTGATATCTAATTGCTTACAGGGAAAGAAATCAGACACTAGAGATTGGCATTTGCGCGGTGGAAACTGGTGTAGGCCACCAAGGAAGTACAATTGTGAAGATGCTGTTGTAAGAAGAGAAGCCACCTCGATACGAAATCTCACCAACCACTTCCAGCTCTCCGGTTTGAATCTTCCAGGTGATGATGCGGTTCCTTAAGAGCAAGTATACCACATCCTTATTGTTAGGGTGGAAAGCCAGTGCCTGTGCATTGAGCCAGCCATCATTTACAAATTTACTAGCCAAAGAATCCTCGGATATCATATCGTTAAAGCAAACCTTACAGATCAAGCTCAACCTTTTGGTCTCATAGTCCTTGGCCTCCCAAACACTCAAATGATCAGGAGCAGCACCATGAATATAACTTAGCAGCCGGAAAATGCCTTGGGAAACCCCAAGACATCGACTGGTAACGTAACTGGGTCCAATGCCTATGTTAGGGAGTCTCAATTCAGATCCATCAATGAAAATGGTTTGATCATTGTTAAAGGGATCATAAACAACAACATCAGTACCATTATACTAGTACAACTTCCCATCACATGCAACAACATTGCTACAATTTTTATATTCTGCACATTCCCTCCATTGTCTTGTCTCAGAACAATAAATATCCACAATGAAAAGATCCCTTTTAATCTCATTAACACACACCACCCTGAATCGAAACTCGCCTTGCTCTCCTTGAACCCATCTCTGATAGTTTGGTTCACAAACCAACCCAAAAAAAAATCTTTCCAGACTTTCTCGCTCTCACTGGACCTGGAGGGAGGAGAAGCCAATGCATTGTGAACGGATTACATATATAATAATTGGCAACAAATTCCACCTCCTTCATCTCGCTGCATAATAGTAAATCATTGTATGATGCCACAATAGAAACAGATTCCCTTTTCTCTGGAAGGAGTTCTAATGGGGACTTAGTGAATATCAGATCTTCTTTTTTACCAGTTATAGAAGAAAGCTCTCGATACATATTGCTGTTAACAAAGAGACTAGGAGGATTCGGGAACCCAGAATAGGAACCATTGATGTGGTGGGTTATTAATTGGGAAACAAAATAGCGAGAAGAGATCAAAGAACACCACCGTTTGGAGACTAACTTTGAACCAATGGCTGATTTTGCAGTGGGAAGTCGAAGTAGAATTTCAGTCAACAAATCGTCCATTAGATTGTCCAGACTCGGATAGAAATTATTTTATGGCGATTCTTCTCTTCTTTCTGCTGATGCTGATTCTGGTTCATCTTCTCTTCCTTTACCCATCATCCGTCTCTGATTTTTTTTTTTTTTTTTTCATGGTTCTTTCGGCTTTTGGCGTCTTGTTGTTGCCCCATCTAATAAGGATTCCTCAGCTTAATGGGAAGTTAATCATAATTTAGTTCCTGTAGTTTATCCAAATATATTAAATAGTCTATATGTTATTGAAAAATAAAAATAATCCCCTGATATGTATTGGTCATGCATACTTTAGTAATTTTTTTTTAAAAAAACGCCTACTTTGTCTATCAAACTCCTAAGATTATCATATGCAAAAAGAGTTAAGCTATAAATGAATTTAACAATAGTGGAATTGCATATATAATTTTTGAAGCCATGAGAACTAATTAAATTGTTGTAATAATCTAGAGGGTTAAATTATCATTAACCTGCTCGATAGGGTGGAATAAAACTTGATATTTTATGTTCTAAGGGCTAGGGGTATAATGCATAATAGGAAAATTTGGGAATTTTAGTAGGAAGGTTTGGGCCTCTTTAAGAAATTGGTGGAAGTTTTAGGACTTTAGGGACAACCACTTTTTACTACTCCTTGTACAGTCCAAGCCCTCGAGTCGTGCGACCATCTATCCAAAAAAAAGTTGAATATTGAATTCAATAAATTTATCTATTCAAAACATATTCTTCTCGTTACTAAAACTTGTCTTTGAAATTTTATTTTCAAAGAAATTTATTTTTTCAAAAAATATTATTGTTTTAAGCTTGACTCTTTAGGTTAATAAAATATTTCTTAAGTATTATAAAATTTCTCAATTTTTTGAAGTATGTTATCCTAACATGTTATTGAGTAATTTATAAATTGGTCCATTTAATTTTTCAAAAGAAATTAAATAGTTTTTCTATTTTTATTTTTTTTTGTTTAATAAATTAAAAAAAGAGAAAAAATAAGTAAAACATATGAAAAGATTGATGAGAAAAAAATATTTTTTAAAATAAAATAATTTTAAATTAATCATGATCGACACTATAAGAAGCTTAATTAATAATTTACTTATAATTTAGCATTCGTATTTTTTCACACTAGTGAATGAAATGCAAACCGAAGAGGAAAAAAAGAACAGAGAAGAGAACATGAAAGGAACTCACAATGCTTTTGCCATCTAATGTCATTTTTTTTTTTTTTACTTTATTGTTACTTTTTTAGGATCAAATCCATATATCAAGCTAACATGTAACACTCCGACTTAGGATCTAAATAGATCGAAAGTATTACTAGCTTTGACTTATATTTGGAGTGCAATGAATGCAAGCCAATAAACTTCTTTCCTTAGCATTTCCAAATTATTAACAAAAATGACATTTTCATATGGGGTCTCTAATTAATAAGAAACAATAGGTTCACATAAATTAAAACTTAGGTATAAAGTTTTTTGAAAATTCAACTAACACCAATTAATGTTTCAATATCATGTGTAGAAATATTAAATGTCATGATTTGGTCAAAATTTTATATTCTTGAACTCCAATTTAATCATTTAAATAAAATACTTTATATTAAACTAAATTAAACCATGTCTTTTATTTTTCTCAAATTTCTTTTGGAAAATCATATTTAATTTAAAATAAAGATATTCCATTTTTTAATATTTCATACAATAAAGTAGGGTTTTTGACATTATTTTCTTTTCAAAAATAATTTAATTATCATGTATTGCATTTAATTAGAAAATAATTAATGAATAGTAAACCATTAAATCTTGATTTAATGTCATTGTTTTTATAAAAATTTCATAGACTAGAAATTTATTTAATATATTTAATTAAATACTTAATAAATTCATTTGGACTCTTAATTAGGGTCTTATCCATTCACAACATTTTTTTGTATATATGGAACTTTGGTTCCAAATTAATTTAAACTTACTTATTAAACTAGTTCATTAAATTCATTTATTCATTATTCCTTAAATCTCATTTAATGACTTAGTCTTCATTTAGTTCTTTACTTTTTACCATTGATTCTTTAACTACCAAATCAAGCAATCATAACTAAAGAGCTTGTAGCCCAATGGTAATAGTCTCTTGCAACAAGAGGTTACGGGTTCAAAAAAGCAACAAATTAGTTTTGCTAAAAGCCTTGGGTGTGTAAGTTAAAAAAAAAAAAAAAAACAAATTAAGTAATCATCTACTTAAACCTCCATTTTACTTTTAGTTGATTTCTTTATTAACCAATTAACTCCTTTAGGCCATTCTATTTAATTAAATGACTAATTAATTCATCAAGTTAATTAATCGAACCACATACTTAACATAATAACTTAATTAAACATTCAAACCATATCATTTATTATTATAAATCAAAATTGTTTAACTTATCACCAATATACGGAACAAAAATTAAGCTAAGCAAATGTAAGTTTTCTCACACATTTTACATAGTAAGCACGCATAAGGCAAGTCTTTAATATTTCTCGACGACGGTCCTTATTCATCTTGCTTTTCTACTACTTCATAAGAAACGAGAGGTGAGCGATATTCAATAAGTGTAATGCATGCAATACATGTAATGCTCATCATGCATGTAATCCATTTAAAAGCTATTTTTCGTGCCTTTTGAAATTCATTTTCCTTTTTGGATGCATCATACCGATTGTCTATATAATTGACCCCCTTTTTAAAACATGCAATTGTCAAAACCTTTTAAAAGCACTAGATAGCTTCCCATGACATTTTTTTTTACATGGTAAGAATATACACTAGATCATTCTCTTAGCATGTCTTCTTTCATTTGGCATTTCCTTTACACGCTAAGAGTATTCATTTAATCATTCTCTTAGCATGTTCTTTTTCTTTTCTTCAAGAGAGGGTGATCATTCCTTTTCCATAACCTTAAGAAGGTATCTAGCCATTCCTTTTTGAAAACCTTTCATTTTCCTTTTTCTTTAATCAAAATCATGAATGTAAAACATCTTTCATGATTATGATGTGCAAATACATTTAACTAGAAATGCAATGCATCCATATAAACCTCAACATACATACTTTCAAATCTCAAGAACATGTGACATAAATAATAAATCAAATACATGTTCCACGTAAATCAAGTATGCATGCAAAACACAAATAAATAATGAACATAAACAATACCCTAAAAACAACCTTTGGTCGAATTGCTTAAACAACATAACCAATCTATTTTTCATAATATTTCATACCTCTAAACCTTAAAAATATCATTAAATTTCAAAGCTAACCATTTTTCTTATTTTCTTCATTTTGGTTGAAAGTTACCAAATGGAAGACTATCTTCCATTTGGTCATTTTACCTCAAATTTTCACCCCCGACCCTTTAACTTAACATGTTTTCATCATTTATAAATTAATTAGGTTAAGTAGATTAATCAACCTAAACTTCTTACTTGGGCTGAAATTCTCCACAAAGTGACCAAATTTCAATTCTTTCAATTCGACACCATAAACACTCTTAAAACATTTCATCAAGCACCTTGTAAACATTAGGTACTAAAACCACTAACTTATTCATGTTTTAGTATATGTTAACCACTTTGTTCCGAGAACAAGGACTCCATCCAAACTCACATAATCATTCCAATTATTCACCCAAATATATCAATCTCAACATTACTAATACAAACATATCACCAAGCATACTTAATTCCAATATTGGAATCATAATTCCTATGATTAAGCTATTAATCCTTAAACAATAAAACATCAAATTAACATCAAATACACATCAAAATCATTAGTTTCCCATGGTTTAATGAGAATTACACTTACCTCACTTGAAGTTTAGCCAATTCTTCTCATTTCCTCGATTTTTTCCCCTTCTTCCTTCCAAAAGTTTCGACCAAAATAGTGATTTTTCTTCCTTCTTTGTTTGATCTTTTAAACTGATTTTGAGGTTATTTTAGAGTGTTTCTAGGTTAACTAAGATGGTATGGAGTGGCGGTTGTGTGATTTTCTTCTTGATTGGTCTTATTCTTCCTTTAAGGTTACTTAAACCACTTATGATTTTTAACCCTTCTTTCATCTTCTTCCTCCATTTTTACAGTCATGGTTTCTCCTTAAGATTAAACTAATTGTGTCACACTTGGTTTGATCTTAAGCATGGTTGTTAATGGCTTCTAGATTTTTCTTCTTCTTCTTTTTCTTAGATATTTTCTCTTCTTTCTTTCTCTCTTTGCTAACTTTTTTCATTTCTTTCTCTCTTAAATTTTCCAAAATTCTCTAGCTGAAATTAGTCTCATATAATCAATTAATAAGTGTAGCGTCCTTAACCTAATTCCTTACAAAACCTTCGTATAACTTAACCATTTTAGATCTAGAAAACTCAATTAATCACAAAATATCACTTAGGATCGTTAAAACCTCATATTAGAAAGATTATATATTTTTTTTTATTATTCAACTAATCAACAACATTCTTTCCACTTATAGCCCTTGGATATTCAATCAAAACCACTTTTTCTTTGCTCATAAACACGTCTCAAAACACCTCCAGGAGTTCATATTTACATAGTTATATATACAATTCAAAACTCTCCTAGGATGCATATGCTCGGCATAATGAGAGAGAGGAGAGGGAGATCGCCAGCCGACACTGTTACTCATGTCGTGAAATGAGCAACAAAACAAGCTCTAAGCTTCTTAACTTCTTGTACCTAAAAAGTAATTGCATTTTTAATGAGATGCTACTCAATGAGAGAACAATAATTCATTGAAAGCATAACATGCAATCACATCATCCAAGTATCATCACATATAAACAATACATGGAGTTCATATGACTCTAAGATTACATGCTTTCCTTTTTCTTGTCGGTTATGACTTGGACATGTCAAGTTCCGCCCCGGTACTTGTAACTTGTAAACTTATACACATATATTGCTGGCCGACTTTTATAACTTGTAAGTGACCCATTGGGTCCTTGTAAACTTGTATTTACGAAACTTAGACAAGCCAGCCATAACCTTAACCTCTTAGCCTTGCATATATCATGAATGTTTCACATATAGCATATACAACATCCATGGCTTACATCATGGTACATATCCATTATAACATCAATAAACATAACGTTTGCGTCAACTAGCAAACGGCACATCATTCACATCATGATATCAATATCAATACACATAACATCAATAAACACAACGTTTACGTCAACTAGCAAACGACACATTATTCACATCATAGAAATATAATATTAGCACTCAATAGCAATAACACATCATGGCACAACGATTATTATTCAACTCACAAAAATGACGTCTTCGCCGTTTATCAATACGTCGCGTCTCGCACCTCACGCTCCTCGGCATCTATAAACACATACACATATACTTTTATAAGTCATTTTATCATGATCAAACTTCTAAATATGCTTAAGGTACAAAATATGACTTTAGGATTAACTTATTCCTTTATGGGTACTTGACCCCTTTTCACTCTTTCTACCATAAGTCTCAAAATACAGATTCAAATGATGCAATTCTAGTTTCACATGAAACTAGACTCATAGGGCTCTAACATATCCAAAAATCAAGTCTAGGTACGAAATACACAACTCATGATAATTTTCTAAAAATCAGAGTTGCTGCCATTTGTTTATGGGTACTTGACCTCTTGACAGTTCACACTCTTTGTACTATAAATCCTAAAATACAGGGTAAAATGACAAAATTCCAGTTTTACATGAAACTAGACTCAAAGTGGTCTAACATATCCAAACATCAGCCCAATATGCCATATACATGATTTATTCTAGATTTTCAAACTCTAACTAGTTTCCAGCACCCTTGTTACCGAGCAGTCTCCAAACAAATAACAATAAATTTATATTGGGACATGATCAAGAACTAATTCCTTTTTTTAAAAAGAACTAGACATATAAATATAAAACATATCCAAAAATCAGGTCGAAATACTCAACACCCAAAGAATACCATATTTTTAAAATTTGCACACTAATCTGCCAAGCATCAGATCACCCAGAACAACATGTGTTCAAACCATCATAACCCGAAATATAAATTACTAAATACAAAACCCTTTCACAGAGAGCTAGATAAGACACAAAACAACAATTGTTATTCTTACAACTTGTTCCATATCTGACCCTAAAGTCTCGAAATCAAGAGTGCAAAACAGAGTCGGGGATGAACTTACCTAGATTTCCAGCTTGATCATCCGAATTTGACAAAGAAATGGGGTTTTTCTCTCTTTCTCTCTCTCAAAACGGGAAACTAGATGGGATAAGAAGAGATAATGATCAGGTAAGTAATCTTGATAAGGTTGTGAAGATATTTTGGCAAAGTTCATTTTGGTCCCTTAAGTTTTAGTTTGTTTTTATTCTAGTCCCCCAACTTAGATTACATTCAATTGAGTCCCTAATTCTTCCTATTATTCCAAATACTTACAATTGAGCCCTTATTTCTTTTTATTATTTCAAATACTTATTATCCAATACCCCACTAACATGTCATATGCAGGTATAATTATATGCGTGTAATTTCTAAGTATGCGTGTATGCATGAACGAGTGTATGTTTTTGGGACGGAGTTATTACAATAAGTCCCCCAAAAATATTAACACTTTACATTTTAGTCTCAAAACTTTTAATCCTTATAATCGCCCTCTCCAATTTTAGTCCATAACTTTCTCAATCTAGCCCTTATCCTCGACCTTTTATAAGAGTAATTTAAGTTCCTAAAGTTACTAAATTACTTCAATCAAGTACCTAAAATTTTAATTATTATGATTATGTCCCTATATTTTGCAATTGCGTCCCTAGGTTAAAGCATAATCATAACAATTAATAGTACCAATCTCTAATTCATACTTTAATTAATTTATCTATCTTCCAATTAATTCTTTTGTCTTTCATAATAATTACACTTACATTAATTTTATTCTTATGCATGCATGATTTTTCAATTCTTACTTTAAATAAATATTCATACATTAATTAAATAAATCATTCTTGCAAACATATTTATAGTAATTCTCTAATTCAAACTTTAATCAATCCATTCACATTTCATAATAACCATACTTGTATTTAATTTATTCTTAATAAAAGTAATAACTTTCATTCCTCGTTTTATTTAAGTATTCTTTTATTAATCGAACAAAACATCCTTACAATGTATTTACATTTAAGGAGAATTTTGGATTAGGGATATTACATAACCAAAAAATAAATTAATTAATTAAAATAAAATTTTCATTCTAAAGAACTCATTTTGAGACTTAATTAATAGGTTGACTTGGTTTCAACGAGTTAAAATTGTCAAATACCTTAGATGTAATAAAAAATAAAAAAATAATAATTAAGAATAGACTTACATATAAGTTATCAAAACATTTAAAGAGTAACAAACTTTTTTTTTAATAGACGGAAAGTCTTAATGGGTCTTAAATCAAATACAACGAGGGTAACTTTCTTTCACACATCACTATAACAAAAAAAAGTAAATATTGAATAAAGTTATTATGGATTTGCTATAACATTAAAAGATATGAAAAAAAGGAACAATGATTTATTGTTCGTTTGAACAGTAAATCACTCTTCCACTATAGCTTTGGTTTTTTTTTTTTTTAATTTTTAATTTTTAAGTTATTTCATTTTGATCCTTAATTTTTTTAAAAAAATTTTAATCCCATGACTAATTTACTAGACATGTCTTTTTTTTTTGTTTTTTTGTAATTGGGTGTTAAAATTTTTTAAAAATCAATCGTAACTTTTTTTTTATATAAATTGATGATTATATAATATATCTTTTTATATTTTAAAGTTAACATATACTTCAACTTATATTACTCTTATTATTTAAATTTTATTTTTTGAATTTATCAATTTTTTTTTATAAAAATTCTCATCCAATTAATATTTTTTATACAAAATTTTATTTACTCATATTATATAATTTATTTTTCTCTATATTTGAATTTTAGGATAAAATTTTAAAACATGGTTTTTTTAAAAAAATAAATTGGTATAATATATATCATGAATTCTTAGAAATTTTACATGATACTTGCATATATATAAATATATAATTATTTTATTCTAAAAGGTTAAAGTGTATTTCAAATAATCTGTCTCGATTCACTAGATATGGTCAATACGTATAAAAAAGTTATTAAATCGTTGATTTTATTAAAAAATTAACTATACATCTTCCAATATCATACAAATTATTTACTATAAATATTTTTTAATATTATAGAATCAATTTATTTAGAATAAAATAATTAAAATAATTTTTTAAAGGAATCAACTAATTATTCAAATACTATTTTTATGCTAATTTTATTAATTACTAAATTTAAAAATTAACTATATATCTTCCAACATAATACAAATTAATTACTATAAATATATATTTTTAACATTATAGGACCAATTTATTTAGAATAAAATAATTAAAATAATTTTTTAAAGGAACTAACCAATTATTCAAATACAGCTTTTTTATACTAATTTTATTGTTTACTAAATATATATATAGATCAATCCATAAAAAAAACTGATTTATGCTTTTTTTAAGTAGAGAATTTATGAAAACATTAAAAAAAAATTATTTAAAAAATATTATAATTAAAAAAATTTAAAAATTTAAAATAATTTGGTTTTACGAGACTCGTCGTGTAGCGCGGGCAAATCACTAGTCCACAACTTAGGTAAACTTGTTTCTTTTGTACTCTGAATAAATAAAAAAGTTTACATTACTAGAATTAAATATAGCTCCATGAAAAAACCTTAATCAGGCTTATCTATCCTAAAAATGAAATTTAAAAAAACAACAGGTACTTTTTCAAAAGTTAAAGAAGTACAGGGGTAAATTTCTTAATCCAAAAAATATAGGGAGCAAATCCAAAATTTATCTTTCTTAACAAATAACAACAACTTCGGTACACTGTTACTCAAACCAAAGCTAAAACATTTCAAATTCCCACTGTAAATACCTCTCATTCCGCGCCAAACACAAACATAAAAACAAATCCACTAACTCAAAGAACAAAATTGAAAATGGTACTGCTCTGTTTCGTGCTAGATCTCTGCAACCTTTCGCCTCCATTGCTCAAAAACCTAAAACAGGTAATCTCTCTTTCTTTCTATTTAATAGATTTTGTTTTTTATTAATTGATTGATGCAAATCGTCGATTCTGTTCAGTCCTTGTTACACCTCGCAAATTTCTACGCTGTATCGTCTCCTTCACGCTGCCAATTGCAGTCTCTCGTCGACAAAATCGGCTTGTGTTATCTCTTCAAGAACCGGACTTCTTCCTCTCACGAGGTAATTGAAATTTCTTCAAAAAAAAAAAAAATCGAACGTGTTTGTCAAAAAATTTGACGGTAGTTATTATTATTATTATTATTTAAACAGCTAAAGGTGGCTTATAGTCCTAGAGGAAATTTCAATCTCCGTGATTTCCATCATGCCGTTAATAATGTGCCTACTGATTCCTTTTTGCCTGAAATTAACGATTCTGGAAGTCTCCGTTCATGCGGTTAGTAACTTATTAGGTGACTTTTTGCAAGCATATTTTTTTTGTTATTTTTCTGGGTTTCTTTATTTATTGTTATCATTATTTGTTAAGATGTGAAGCTTTCAAGTATTTTGAGTGATCAAGTACTGTACTCATGGGGAGGTAAAGATATTATGAGAAAAGTGATTGTTTTGAGCTCGTGCGTGCCTTATAATGTTGACTCAGAGTTGAAAGTGACTCTCATGGTTAGTCACCAGATTATGCTTCGGATTATTACTTGATGATGTATAATTTGATTCTTTTTAGAAAATTTTGTTTGGTTTTTGATAGGATGCAGAGGATAAGTACGTTTCGGTGGAGTTTGTATTATTTGAGCAAAGTTTGAGCCATCTTGGAAATTTGCAGGGGAATATTAATTCTTTCATGAAAAGTACATCAGATCTCGATAATTTCTCATTTGGAACTTATCTCGCAGGTTATGTGCTTCAATGATTATTAGGTCATGATGCTGTGATAATGGTTTTTGGAAAACCCTATTTTGAGACCACTTTTTTTGTATCAAATTGGCAAATTAAAACATGTCTAAATAATTTGGCAAATTCAATCCTATGAACGTTATATTTAGGCAATTTGATGCTCTCGATTCTTAACAAATATCCAAAAACTAGGTTTACAGAGGATAGTAGATTTATTGAATGAGTAGTCTAAATTAAAATTTGGTTTCTTCTCTTTCTATTTTCCTAAAATATGCAATATGAGGTCTGGAGTTGTGAAAAAGTCACATGGGGATCTTACATCAGTTTGTTCTTTAAAAAAAAAAATTCAAATTGATTTTTTTATTTTATTTAGGATAGGGCAATTTAGTCAAAATTGTGTGCCATGTGGCTAATATGTTCTACCTAAGCAAGTTTTTGGACATTCACTAAGAAATTGGTGATAGTTGGATCAAATTGTCTAAATAATACAAATATAGTGTCGAATTATTTACACAGGGTTTAATTTGGCTATTTAATATAAACATATGGTCTCAAAATGGGGTTTTCCATGTCTTTTAGTATACTTTGATAAGTTTTATTTCCTATGAATTATCAATGTTATAACATGAAAACCTTTCCTGCGATTGATTAATAGTAAATTAGGCAGAAGCTCCATGTTTGTATGGTTATTGAACAAAGAGGGAAAGTTTTTAGTACTGGAAAAAAATGCAGACCTTGCTAGATATAGGTTTTGATTATGACAATCGAAAAATCACAGCATAGGAATTTGAGAAGCTATGGAATTTCTGTCACTAGTCCCTATCTTTCCTTGTAGAATCATTTTGAAGGGAGATGGAAAGAGTGGGATAGGATGTGATCGTGTAGTCGCAAGACCATGGCTACAGTCAATAAAATATAGAAAAAAAAGTAAGTTGTCCATTCATGGTTAGAGTTATTGCATGCAGATGGGAATTTGGATGTATAGCCCTAGAGTACTTAACATGCTAGGGCTAAATGTTTGCTTATTGCAATTAATCTGAGTTATCGTTTTGTGTAAATAGTTCTCAATATTTTTGCTAAGAAAATGGTAGTGAGCGAAAGTGTAAAGTCTTGTATATGTATTTGTATTTAGCATAAACATTGGATAATTTTGCAGAGAGTAGAGTATTTCATAGCATGGTAAAACAATGGCTACAAGAGTTAAAGGATGACATGGAAGAACCCTTGCAAGCTCGTTTCATCTTTAAAAGCAACCTCATAGGCTCTCTAAATCAGATATTCTGCAGCTTGTCAACATCTGTTTGTCAAATTACTGATGGGTTCGGTGCTTGCCAGGTGTTGAATTATGAATCTCACTTTCATGCTCTGTTTTTATGATAAAATATTTCCTTTGTTATTTCAATTTGATTTCTCATGTGAATAAACTTATTATGGCTGGGTGTGCTGCTTATAGACATGCAGGTGTCATGGCTCTATGTTAGATAACAGAATAAAAGACGAAAATGTGGGAGCTTCTTGTCCAATCACAGGGTGTGATCTGGGAATTTCTGATGTTATTGAAAATTCTGTGCAAGTTGGAGACAAAACAGTTCTGTTTATGCCATCTTTTCAGAGCTCAATGAAGCTGAAGCAAGTCTCTTCACCCATTGACTTCAACATTATTGAGAGGACTAACCTGAGCTCCTTAAGTGAAGGTAAGGTCATGCTATAAACTCTATCTGCAATTTTATAGATACATCTCTTGTCCCTTGCATTTTGTGACCTGTAAGTGGTTTATCTATTTAATGGTATTGCCTTATTGGTAGTTGGGGAGTTCTTATAGGGATGTGAGGAGATTCTGCTTTTCTGCTTATCATTTTAAAACCCGCATTCTTATGGCCATGGCATTTTTGCCCACATCTTGAAGTACTACCAGTTGGGATATAAGTAAAAACCAGTGACATCCACGCGAGCTACAATCTTAGGTTAAGAATGCTGCCTTTTGGTCCGAGTGTGCAATACAACAATGGATTTTCTTCTTCTATCCTTTTATATTTACTTGTAATGAACAGGTCCATTTCTTTTATCACTTTATCAGTTTTCTTAGAACTTTCTGAACTTTAGGATGCCAATATATTTTCTTATGCAGATGTAAAAGTTGAGAGATGGTCCGAGAGATGATTGAAAATCATTGCTCAAACCTTTTCTCTGCAAAATACTTATAATCACTGCCCACACCTTCTGAATGATAATCTATAGTCACTAGAACAGGTACCATAAAATCTTTATGCTTAACCTCCCTTTCTCACTTTTTTATCACAGGTCTTATAATTGGATCTTCATATTTTGTCACTCCATCAGCTTGTTATGAGATAGAAACTTCAGACGAAATGGATCGACCAGAGTTGAATGCTCAAAGTGTGATGAATGCTTCCCTTTGAATTTCTTGTTTCAAATGTTTATGTAAAAATGGAATTTAGGGTCCTCAAAGTTCAAAATCCTTTGATTCCCAAATTTATCTTCTCTTAGCATGATTCGAAATGTTACTTCCGTCATTCTGAATTGGGATGTGACCTGTCAGTTTTTCAAGGGATTTGCAGTGTTCTGCATTCAATGGATCAGGGCCTGTTATGCTCTTCGTGTTGTAATGTGGAAACCATGAGAGAAGCAGCCTTCCACTGCTATTATCTTCTTCAGCCTTCAGACAATGGACCAATGCTTCTCAGGGTAAACACTGACCCTCTTTATAGGCTAACCATCTATTTCTTCTCAAGATATTCTAATTGTCGATTTAATGTCTTCCTCTTAGTTTAATTTGCTTTGATTGTGGGAATTTGAATTATAGATTTTGGTTTGTTTTCTGTTCCTCTGTCTTTGTCTTCATTTAGAATTTGTAACCAATTTGCCTGCACCCATTGCAGCGCCTTTCAGGATCAGAGGAAGTCTTGCCTGTGCCTGATGCCAATCGATTCCTTGATTCTGCTGTCAACAAGGAGATTCAGAATTCCATTCAAGCCTCACTACTGAAGGTTGAATATTTGCCTCAATCACTTCTCCAGAGCTTCTTTCTCAATATTAAGTTTTGGAAATCTGAAGCCATCTACATGCTTAAGTTTTCTGTTCTTAAAGCATGTACTTAGATTAAATAGATCCAGAATATTGATTTATGTGCTGAGTTAACCTGGGTTTGGAGGTTGGTTGGCTAAGGTTTGGCTTTGATAAGCTTGGCAAGTTGGCATAGACTGCATTATACTTAAATAAAAAAAAAAAAAAAACAGCTTCTTCACCAAAATCTAGTGATTGAATTCAATTTTTAGCCTTCTGTTATGATTTTAATACTTTTTTATTTTTCGTTTTCTTCTTCTTTGGTTTTCCTTTCCAAATTACCCACAGATAGAATTAAGAGACTACAATCCAGTACTGCACGAGAGAGGATTTCATCAAAAGCTCAATTTGCTTGTGAAAGAGAGCCTGCAAATAGGGTAATTATCATATCCATTGGTATTGAGTGCTCCTGCACCTATACAATTACATTGGCACATATTTGACTAGTTTTTCCATTTTATTTTATTTTAGAGTTGACAAAAAAATGTTTAAACTGCTTCCAATATGCTGGCTATCTGTTCGCAGTGCATTTTCTCAAATAGAATTCCTTCTTTTCCCAGAGCTTCTTCAAGGGCAGACCTTAGAAGGATTTGTCAGCTCTTCAAAGAGGCTGCTATTCCTATATAAAATCTGATTTCCTAGTTAACTTCTCCAACTACTAAGTTTAGACAGGACTTTCGTGTTAGTAGTTTTACTTTTCCTTCACAGGATAAGTGGATTGTGACTAAATTACTTGGAGCTGTAATCATGGTCCTCCGAGCCATTTGACAACTCAGCCATGGCATGTTAAAATTTTACATCCCGTCATTATTATGATCAAATTTGAATCTCTAAAACTGGAAAGACATGTTTAGAGATTGTTCAATGTCATTCATTAAGCATCAATCCTGTTGCCTCTGGCATAGCATTTGCTTTAGCTCCATCTTTCTTACTATAATGTCCAGTTTGAGCTATATAGTTGCTATTATAGAGGTTCTTAGCAAATGTTTCAGTTTGAAATTGGGATGTTCGGGTATGACCTCATTTTCTGGTAATTCCTAGAACTTTCTTTTTTGTAAGTTTGGGACTGCACTTGGATTGATGGTCAGCATTTGTCATGATAAGCATTTCAATGTCAGAACTTGTTTGATTCTTATGTTTGCCACAATCACATGGATGTTCCAGGTCACTTCCTCCTAAACTGGATGAGACAACATCCCAGCTAAACTCAAGCCAACCAGATTCTTCAGAGGTCATTGTACTAGATGCTACTGATTTGGAGGATGAAACCCCACTGTTGGATCTGACGAATAGAGATGACAAAACCACCTCTTCTATCGCAGAAGAATGGGAGCATTTGGGTGTCAACGAACTTCCCAACGCATATTCTCCCACTTGTGTTTCCAAACTTAAGATGGACCAGTCACCTCTATCCTCACCAGACAGTCAGAAGCAGCTGGTTGTCAGTGAAGTTCCCAAGACGTATTCTCCTACTTGTGTTTCCAATCCTAAGATGGACCAGTCAGTTCTGTCCTCACCAGACAGTAACAAGCAGCTGGATGCAAAAACTTCTAGGATACTAGAGAGGCTGGAGTTACCAAGACAGTTAAAATCTAAGGCAGTTTCTCCCACTATCACAAGCAGTCAAACACCTCTGCCAACAAAAAAGCCTTCGATCCCATTCCAGCCCACCAATGCAATAGACCAAAGCCTGACTTCAAGCCAGTTACTCAAGCCCAACTTCCAGAGGCTCAAAAGGAAACATAAATGAAAACAAGGCTGTTTTTACTGTGAGATAGCATAGTAATTCTCGTGGAAGAGGTTCATGAGGTTGGTATTCTGACACCGTTCAGTTATAAACATACTATTCTTGACCATGCATGAGATAGTGCACACATGATATTCTGTTGTTGTGATGGTTAAAAACAAGGACCAACTTAATGTTCTGCAATACACTCAGGCTCCATTTCGCCAGTATCCTACAATATACTGCCTGTGTTTTATTGCTTATTTTATTCTTTTCTTCCATGATGCAAGCTGTCAGGATTTATGGACGTATTCCTTTGTGTGCTAGTATAGACATACATACCTTCCTCGGTTTCATCTTTTCAAGAATGTTTGTACTACTTATTATGTTTGGACTATTAATATTCCTTGACCGTTTTGCAAGATCACCAGGAGCGTCACTAACAAATCTTTGCTGTTGTATATAGGAACAGGTATGATATCGAGCATGTGCATTTGATCATGCTTTTAAATATTTAGGGCGTTGATGGGGAAGTTCATTTCTGGATGAGAAAACAAGAAAACATAATGATTGAATGGCAAGAATAATTCCAACTAATCATTCAATGAAATTATTAAATCAGAAAGGGGTTATATTCTCAAGCTCAATGCTGGTATCATTACATACTACTGATTTATCTTATTAAAATAAGTTCACTCTTCAATCAATTTTATTTTATTTTTTTTAAAAAAAGCTTTACATTTATTTCTCTCGTATATAGACATAGGTAAGCAAAGAGCATGACGTTTGGTCATGCTCACGCATTTCGTATATAACAACTGTTATGGCGGGTGCCATCAATCAACCAACGCACTATCTTTTGCCCGCATTATAATATATCAATATTCTACTGGTAATTCTAGAGCAGACTTGATAAAGAATACATCATGACAAAAGCTGTGGTCAAATTGCAGGGCGGGCCAAAATCTTTGTACGTACTGGATAGTGGATCAGAGTGGAGCTCAGGAGGACTTGTCTGGTGTGTTTCTTCTCTTTTTTATCCTTTAGAACTCAGAAGTTTTCTTTGTGAAAATCGAACTTGGTGCTGGTCTTGTGAGAGAAATCCAAGGCTAGCTGGCGCAACTCTTTTGTCAGTGCTGGTGCCCCACAATAAAACACTCCTGCAATTGTGAATAGATACAGATATCTCATTTTTCATTTCTAAAAGTGAGAAATAATGCATGACATAAACACTGTATGAAAGATTTGATATGTTATCTTCAGCAAAAACAATAGTATACTCAATCATCCTTTCTGGTATCGATATCTTTCCACTGTCTTGCTTGGACCCGGTAAAAGATCATCTTCAGTGATATAGAGACAGGGCCATGAGAAACTTGTCAATTTGAACATGAAAACTGCCCCAACAGATAATAGAGTATGCTAATGGTGATTGAAAACGAGATAAACACTTATATATCTATCATCATCCTTTGCAAAAGCACTAGCACTCACATTAATATATTTTCTATCATCTTTTTGAGGAAGTGACGGACAGAATGAACAAAGACTTCTTTTCATGCATAAAGAAGATTTTCCTTTTAGGAGCAAAGGGCTTAATTATGCTAAAGATCTGAACTAGTTCATGAGAATATGGAATATTGTAGCACTAGATTGTAGTACAATAAACTATGGGGTCGGAGAAGTGCACTTACCAACTCGAGAATCAGGGTGGTTAAGCGCAGTGCGCTTGTAGACATTACGCCAATTGGGCTTGGCAAAGTGAGACTTGACTCGTGTTCCAGAGACAATGTCCACACCATTCTTGGCATGATTGATAGATTGAAGCATGGCAATTAGAGCAGACCTTGCATCACCCTCTTCATAAACACTAGTACAGTAGTTGTGAAGCTCTATGACATGGTTGTGGTCTAATTCAGCCACCTCATTCATCACCCCTTTAAACCAGTCAAAGGACCCTTGTTCTCTCGTCACCCAATAGAAGTATGCTCTTCTTGTCTTGAAGTTTTCTTTTCTTTTTTGTGCATTAGGACTAGAAGTTTTAGTTAATGGGCTATTGCCTATTCCATTAGTACCATTTTCTAGTGCATCCTCTTCTTCTTCCATGGCCCTGATGTTACTCACTATGTCCTTCACAATGCTGATCATTGGGGTTGCCCCAATTCCTAGACCAACAAGCAATACCACCTCATATTTCTTGTAGTCTTGTGCTGGTGCTCCATATGGACCGTCAATCAAAACTCTTGGGAAGCTGTTCATGGGATAAAAAATCATTACATCATTATGCATACCTAAACGAGAAACTTTTTTATTTCAAGGCAGACGTCATTTTTCCTAGAGAATATCGATGCGAAAAAGGACAACTTGCAGCTCACGCTAGCACATTCACTTCACATGTTTGTTACATGTCCTTTTCAATGATGGAGCAAGCTGTCCATAAGGACAAATTAATCTCGTCCGTAATTATCTTTTCAGCATATAATAATGTCTAATTACTTGGATTATTGGATGTGCAAAAATCGTTTAAAACACAGTTGGCAATTCTTGACTGCAATAATCAAATGCATGGACACACATTTTTCAAACTTGAGGTTTGTTTAGTAACCTAGTCAACGTCCTATCTTTCTGTCAATGACATTGCTAATCCTATTATTTTGTATTCTGGTGCGGTAACGACAACTGATTCAAGAGAGCACTCTGAAATGGACAGCATTCTATAATTCCAATCCAAAGCAGGAATGGAGATATAGATAACACAAAAGCTAAAGGAAAACCTATTCCAAGTGAAACCAACTGTAATTGGTATGGTGGTCCTCATTTGTTCATTTGCAAATTATGCTTCAAACAGCAGACTAATAGACATAGTAGTCTCTAATCTCTATTATTCTATGTTTATTAACGTAATGCAGATCATATCTAGCTAGGAGCTCTTGACAAATTGCTTGGATGAGAGTAAAGACCTTAACAGCAAGTAGTTAAGATACACATAAAGTGATGAAAAGCACTTCCTCTACTAGGGTAGGTTTATTAGCAATATGGTTGTGGCATCGCACTTCCAACCACCTAAGATTCGGTCTGCAATTAGATGTTGACCTTATGTAATGCTTGTCACGCATATGGATACCACGATCTCCAAACCCTCTAGATGGATTCCTTTCTTTCAAATGATTATAATATTATCATTTTTCAAAATGGATTCATATTTTTTTTAGCCGGTAAATATGCCTGATCAATAGAAAAGTATGCTAAAAGTAAATGCTTACTTTGGGCTGTTTCCTTGGAAGCTGTCAGCTCTGAGAAGTCCACTCTTCCCATTAGGAGGGGGTTGACATGCCTGGAAAAAAAAAAATTGAGAAATACAACGGGCAATTAGCCACAATAAGCGGCACTGAAAGTTCAGTGGGAACGTATGATAAGAAAAAGAAAAGGAAAAGGTCAGTGCGAATATTTACTTGCCATTTACTTTTTCGCACATATCGTTCACAATCTTGGAAATAAACAAGACTTTTTCTACTATACCTTCGTTGTCTAGAAGAATAACAACGCAATTGTAAGAAAACGCACCTCTGAGAACACCGTTCGAAGCTGCCGCGTCCAATCACCGAGAGTTCTGATGTGAACACTGAGGTAGTCATCTCCAGGGGCTGAAGTAATAGAAAATGGGTGCCTGTCGACATGGGATTTTACCATAATTAAAGCAACGATAACAATATTCTTTGAAATATGTACAAATGGATAACAAATGGAGTTGAAATATTTTGAAGTTATCTACCATTCAAATGGAGAGACAGCGGCACAATTGACGAACATGTACTGCCCACTCTTGTATCTAAATCCTTGAGGCTTTGACATGTGAAGTGCTAAGACATTTCCAGGATAAATTGCCACCTTCAAAATCACCAGTAGAAATTAGAACAACTTCCAAAATTCTTTTCGAAACGAAAGTTTGCGTAAAAATGGTTGAAGTTTGTTACTTTTTGTATGTTAACAGCCTTGATGCTAGATCTCAGTGCTCTAATAAGCCTTTCACTGCCGTAAAGTAACACAGGAACTGCCAAATACATCCAGGTCTGCCAATGGAGTTGGAGGATTAAAGGCGGGCTAATTCAAATCAATGTAGTGTCAGAAAAGAATATACGATAATTAAGTAAGAGGTATTCACCGTCTTCTTGTACCAGTCATGAGTCAGGTAGAGGTAATAACCATGTACAACAAGCAGGGTGTAGACGATGACGAAGAGGTGATGAGAATACCAAAATGCATTGAAACCGGTGAGCTTCTTGAGCCATGTTGGCAAATTGAGCTTATTACGTCTGAACCAAGGGGTGGCTAGCGTGAAGGCTATAGCCATCAACACAACCATTAAGATCCCAGTTACTCCTTCCTTTGACTTAACAAAATGCCAGTAACTTGACGGTTGATCCTTGAAAAATGGCTCCATAAGCTCCCACTTTTCCTCACTTGCGTGAAGAAGGCGAGGGAAGTCGCATGCTAAATGAGAAATCGCATGGATACCAACTCCAACTGCAATTCCCACTGCTATCACCTAAACAAGGACAGCAACATTAGTTTTTTTTTTTGCTTCCAATGTAGTAGAAATCAAGTGGAGATCTTAGATAGTAGTACAGTACCTTGTGGAAATTGAGGTTATCGTCAAAAGGAACCGCAACGCCTAATTTGGTCTTGTTCCTGAGCCAGGTGAGGGTGTTTCGACAGACAGGTAGTAAAATTAGAGCCATATTCAGTTTGAGCACCTCTGCTGCTCCCTTGGCCATGCACACACAATTGCCCATTACCAAATACGCAGCTCTGCGTCGATACTGCACATACTTGTATGCAAATAGGCCAGCCATAACACCGATCCATAGAGCCATCACCCAAACTCTCTGCCAGTTGTCTAATAAGAAATACTTTGTGCTTCTACCGCATCTGTTTAATGGGTTGCTGTCCAATGTAGGCTTAAGCTTCTGGCTAAGCATATGGCTCAGGTTTCGGCTTTCTCCTCTTACAGACTGGTTTGGTCCTTGCAAGAGAAGCATTTCCAGGTTCTCTATCTGTTTTTTGGAAAAGGAATCACGCATCATTAATGCCAGTATCAACGATCTGCATAAAAAAACTCCAAACAAGTAGACCCTCAACACATTAATAATGATTTTAACTTGTGGTTTATTACCATGATGTATCCATGATTTTCTGGATCTAACTCTTCCATGATCAATGCTGCATATTCCTCAGCTTGTTTCTGGATATTTGACAGTTTATTTGCAGAAGCACTGAGGGTGATGATCTGTGTATAAAAATTGTCAGATTATCTTAGCCCAAATCTTTTTCTAACACAAAGCACGTGCTTTGATTCAAGTCAAGTGTTGCATTTAAGACAAGAGGTAAAAGTAAATAATCTTTTACCAAGGCATTCAAAGATCATACCTCTCTGACTTCCTCTTCTGTGATTCTCCCATCAGCATCTTTATCCACCCTGCATTTTTTTGGCATCTCTTCACATAAGTTTCAGCTTGCAAACCAATAAAGGTGAAGGACTTTTTCGTTAAAATGAAAGACATAATCTCTGAGAGAGAGAGAGAGACTCATTTACATGTCAAAGAAAGTTTGGAGCCTGGAGTCAAAACTTTGATTCGAAATCTGTTCCCAGAATTCCCTCAGCTCAGCCTTACTGATCGCATCACATTGCATATTCCGCTTCCTTGCAAGTGCATTAAACAACTCTCCTGCAAACTCTTTTGATTCTTTCATTCCTGCCATCACACAAATTAACACAGATCCTTCAAAACTCACAAACTAACTAAAGTAAATAACATTTACTCCAAAACATACACCTTAACATATATACAAATACAAGAGAGAAGGTAGGTAATTTGCGTAGAAGTACCTATACATTCATAGAATCGGGCACGAGGAAGCAAGCCCTCTGTAGAAGCAGTAATTTCATCGAATCTCTTCTCCACAGCAGCCCATCCTGCACCACCATCAGCCTTGCTGATAAACTTAAGTCCTTTTAAAGCATAAGCAGCTGCAGATTTAGACCTGTCAAGGCGACCAGGAGTAGGCCTCTTCGAGAACGAAGTCAACCGTTTTATTTCATGAGAAACCTGTCTAATTCTTGCTGAAGCATTTCTCACAACATTGGAAGCAGATCTTTTCTCTAGACCTTTAGCAAGTAATGTCATCTCTGGATCTTCTTCGACGCCATTAGCAGCTTTAACACTGTGAACAGCCACAGCATCGTTTCGGACATCAAGGGTTATCTCCACGTATTTTTCATCCTTGGATGTTGTTGTTTCTGGTATGTTAAACCTTGCACTCTTTCTTCCTGGTCTTTTATTAAGAGGTCCACTCAATGGACCACTGTAAGCTACCCTTTCGCTCCCTGATACCTCTGTATCAGAGTGATGATCTTCTCTACCCATATCTTGCATCTGGATCAATGTATATAAAGATTGCAACCTGAGAAAGGTTTCAAGCTCTCTTTATGTGTGCAGTTCAAGACTAACCAGAATTTTAACACATATTCAAATACTAGAATATGTGACAGTTTTGTAGAAGCAAGCAACGAAGGGAGAAACCAACTGTTTAAAGCTGAATTCTGGAAGATTGCTATAAAGAAAGAATATGAATACACAGAGGGAATTCTTTTTCTTTTTGTCCCTCTCTTGAGTATCTGTTAACTTCTGTCTTAGAGTGAACCATAACCTGTTATATAAATATACTTGTATAGGCTGTATGTCCCTATTGACAGAAAGACTGGTCTGAAAACAAAAAAGAAATTATCATGTCTGCTTGTTACGAATGGCGTTTAGATCACATAATAATAATATATATATATATTTTTTGAAAGATACTTCAAAACAATCACATTCAAATGAAATAAAGTGAAGCAGCAAAAAGTAATTATGAAAATGTCAAAATAAAAATGAATTATGCTATCATTACATTTAACTATAATATCATGTACGTAATTTTCTGTTGCCGGTTAGGAAAGCTGATCAGCAGCTTCCTCTTTTCTCACATGTGCATCAAATCTATTTTCTATGTTGTTTAGACTTGAGTAATCCAAATTAACTTTTGACAAAATCCTCATCATATTCCTTCCAAGTCAGTAATGCACTGTTTCCATGTTTTTCACTTTAATGACTGTAATCTGTTGTCATTTATCACAAGAAAAAGGACAATTGACAACGTTTTTTCTGATCTTGGTTGTTACTGGATTGGACTGATCAGCTTTTAATTTTTTTTTTTTTTTTTTAAGAACGAGTTCCTGATGTCTCCCAATGCTTAGCATTCTAAGCAACATTAATTAGGTAAATCTATCAATCTTTGTTTCCTTGATATGACTAGTTACAGCTTATTGCTTGAACCTGCTGATGAAACATGTTGTGGTTGTCATGCAGTAATTAAGTTAAATGCACAATCCTCCAAAATTGTAGTCTATATACTAGAATACAAAATCATTTGATCTTGTAGAATCCATTTTGCATTATCTCTCTATGGTAAAGAAAAATTACCAAGTTAGAGATGGATTAACAAACAGCCCTCTTGAAAAGAAAGAGCACCGAACTACAAGTTCATGTGTAAGGAAAAAAATATTATCTGAGTTAAAATATATAAAAAGAAATTCACGAAACAAGATTTTATGAATTTAGAGCACATGAATCTTATACCAACAAAAAAATATATATATATATATCAACAAAAACAGTTAAGATGACAACTTATTAATTTGTTTTTCTTTATCGATTATTTACTAATTAAGCCATATATATATATTGGAGATATGAATATTTTTTTTATGCAGAAATGATAAAATTTAATTTTTTCAAACAAATACAATTTTAGAATTTATAATTTATATATTGACAAAAAATTCGTTTGAAGACTATTTCATTTATAGTTGGATTAACAAGTTTTAGTTGAATCAACTATTTTTCAGTTTCACGTGAGTCATTTCTGAAAAATTACATAGGTTTCACCAATTTTTGAGACCTAGATAATCAAGTTTTCAAAGTCATTGTCTTTTTCCTTCTAACATTGAATAAGAAATGGGTTTGATTGAGGAAAACTTTGCACTTGATTCACGAGCAGAAACATGACAGTGCCCCACCACTTTCTAACCGCGTGTGAGTGTTACAAGGGGTCAAACTTTGTGTCCTCGATGTGGTTAAACCATACATAACCTAATAGGACCATCTTTTTTTCTTTACTTTAAAAACAAAAAAATTCCAGGCTACCATCCACGTCTCATTTCTCCATGGCTAACAGAGGAGGGAGGACCGTCTCATAATTGTCCCCGTGAGTTTAATTGTAATTTCAACAGGGATTGATCATATCAGTCAAACTTGGTCGGTTCAATCATCAAGTTGGATCATAAAACTAAAAGTGAACCTGCACACAGCCTAGCTCTAATGGAAGATTGCTAAATTTGGGTGCAAGCTGCTGAGCTGTGGAACGATGATGGTGTCTAGAAGAGATCGAATGGCGAATGTTTTTCTTCTTATTTCAACACACGCTACTTAATTTTTATAATGATCCAATTTAGAACCTTCCTCTTCTAATTACTCCATAAATATACAATAAACAAGACAAACGCGTATATAAATATAAAAGGGCAAGTTTTCTTCATTTGGAATTGGAAATGGAATGTATATTTTTTATTTTTGTATATCCAAATTATTCCAAAAATTATTCTAAAACTAAAATTCAGAATAATTCTTCATTGTTCTATTGAATTACAAGACGAACACAACTATTCAAATAATTTTTTTATAAGCAAATATTCAAATTCGTGATTATTTATTTAAACGATTAAAACTCATTTCTTTCAAATCAACTCTCATAAATTGAATGTATTATCTTTTTTATTTTTTTGAGAAATGTTAGAATTGGTTTCACAATTATTAATTAAGATTTCACTAGAATATCATATTAAGTGAAACAAAATAATTACATTTTTTCTTTGTTAATTATTATAAAATTTATCATAAGTGTTTTGTTTGGAATGGATTGGAATCTGAAACCTATTCTCTTCCATTGTTTCATTTCCAATCCTTTAAGAAACCAAATTTGGTTTTAGAGTAAGGAATGCATACTAATATTGAGAATTATGATGTTTAATAAATGGAAATGGTTTCCACCTTCAATCAGGGTTCGATTCTGAAACCAAACCATTAGAATTTTTAAATTTTCATGAATTCTTTTATCCTAATTGAATAAATGACTTGATTTTTACAGATACAAAATTAATTTAATTTCGATATATATATATAAATTGGTATGAGAATACTATCTAATTATTGAATAAAAAAAAATTCCATGTTATAGGTGAAACAATATACTATGAACACAAAAATCAGTTTCCAATTTCGTTTCACATAATAGGTGAATGTCCTCAGCTATCCTTGACAGATTACAATAAAAAAATAAAAAGATCTTCATAAGTGGTAAATGTTAGAGAGTAATATAAAATCATTCCTAAAGTTTCACCTAAAAAGTTTATGTTTTTGGATTGACATGATATCAATGTCTTAACGACTAAATGATCGCGAGTTCGAATCTCAACATTCGGATAATATGGATCTATACAAGTTTCAAATCCAAAAGAATTTCATTTAAAAGAATGTATTAGAAAATAATATAAAATCATTCTTGGATTTTCACCTAAAAATATACATTTTTTAATGGAAATAGTTTTTTTTTTTTTTTACACTACATATATATACTTCCATTAAGAACTTCGCTCATGTAGGACATGACAATAAGGGATTAAGGAAGATCCTGATAAAGGGTAAACATATGATGATATCATTTAGAACTTCCCTCCTCTAATTAATTAAATTACTTCATAAATATACAATAAACAAGAGAAACTAGTATACAAATATTATTAAAAAACCATCTCACCTTAAAATCTCAAGTTATTAGATGAAGTCTTAAAATATAATTTATATTATTTTTTAGCACATATTTTTAATTAAATGAAAGAATGAAAATGTTTTTATTCAAACTCATCGACCTTGAGTTATTTAAGACTCAATTTTTGTATAAAAAACTCATTTCAATTCAAAAACTTAAGTTATTGACCGAGTTTTTAGAATATGTATATTATTTTTTAACATGTTCCTTCAAATAAAAGTTTTTTAAATTTAAAACTTGCATAAGCCTACTCGTTATTTTGTTTAATTATCTATTAATTAAAAGAGAGAACGAGAGCAATGAGATTTAAAACTCATAAATGTTGAGTCATCAACACTTTAATATGATGTCAAAAAATCATCTCAATTTAAAATTTTAAGTTATTAAACAAAATTTTAGAATAAAATTTATATTATTTTCTAACAAATACAGAATGATTTGAAAGACCAAGTTTTGTTCAATTGGGTGTGGAAATAGAATGTATAGTTTTCCATTTCTGGATAATAAAATGCTGTTTGTTTGTTTTTTTTTTTAATGCTGTTTGGTTTGAATGTAAGTTTTTTGATAATGCGGTTTGGTTTGAATGTAAGTTTTTCATAATTTTTTTAATCCCAGATAGATAGATGACTTGCTTTTGATTGACGGAAAATAAATTCATTTTCAATATGCATGACCTGACCCGAAATTGCTCTCTGATTGTGAAGTTTTTTTTTTAATAATAATAAAAAAGAGGCTTACGAATGCACGAGGAAATGTGTTCCAGTGCAACATGTGGAGCATAAAATCACTTTTCAATTGTTCTCTCTGCCTCTATCAGCAGATCAATCGAACCTAGCAACAATGACATGAAACGTTTCAATTGTTATGGTACGTACGTAGCTGGTGAAGATCCTCAGGTATCCTAGCCATATTACAATAATGAATCAAGAAAGATCATGGTAAGAAATAAATTATAAATTAGTACCTCTTGTTTAGAGAAATGAATTTTTTTTCCTTCAAAACCTAATTATTTAGTTCTTTATCGTTTAATTTCATCAATAATTCAATCATTTTATCAATTTTTTTATTAGATTAGTGATTTTTTTCTCAAATAACTCTTCTTTTGATTTTTAGTTGAAGAGGGAGAAAAACAGTGAATGAGGAGAAAAATAAAAAAAAAAAAATTTGAGATAAAAATCACTAATCTAATTACCGATGAAAGAATTAAGTTATTAACAAAATTAAAATATAAAAAATAAATAAATAATTTTTAAAACAAAATGGATTAATTAATATGTTTCTCAAAACAAAAAGGACTAATTTATAATTTACTCATTCGAAAATGGCAAACATATAAAAAAAAAAACAAGTTTGACATACAAAACGCGGTTTTGATCGGGTGAAGTTGACATGGTGGGAAATGATCTACCTAATTGGAGTAGATAGATCATTTACTCAACTTGACTTTGATATATATATATATAATAATAATAGGAATTGACCCTTCCTGTTTGCCTATGCTGTGCTGCTG